GAGGCCAGGAGTCCCCGACCAGTGAGGGCAACATAACAAGACCCTCATCTCTACAAAAATATGTAAAAGTTCCTGTAATCCCAGCACTCTGGGAGGCGGAGGCAGGCAGATCCCCTGAGTTCAAGAGTTCGACACCAGCCTGACCAACACAGTGAAACCCTGTCTCTACTAAAGATACAAAAAGTAGCCAGGTGTGGTGGCGCGCCTGTAATCCCAGCTACCCGGGAGGTTAAGGCAGAAGAATTGCTGGAACCCGGGAGGTGGAGGCTGCAGTGAGCCGAGATCACGCCACCGCACTCCAGCCTGCGGGACAAGAGCGAGACTCTGTCTCACGCACAAAAAAAGATGTTACCAAGTCCTGTCAATTTTACCTTTAAGTGACTCTCAGCTCCGTGGAGCCTCTCCACCACCTCCGTTTCCCCTGCCCTTTGTAGTCACTCCCTGGCACTCTTCCTGGGGCCCTTGCCCAAGGATGCTACCCTCTGGGCTGCAAGCAGCTCTCTAAACCCAAGACCAACACTGTCCTCTTAGGCGGTGACACCCCTGGGAAGCCAGGTAGGGGCTTCGAGGCTGCAGATAGGGGCAGGAGCCTTGATACTAGGCACAGAGAAAAGACCTCATGAATTTGGAGGCATCAATAATTTAGGGGGTCACTAGTCTACTTTCTTCTTTTTTTCCTTTAGTGCCTAGCAAGTAGTCCAACAGAGAAGGTACTGAAAATAGGTATTTTCCTGGATTTTTGACTGGACATGGTGGCTCACGCCTGTAATCCCAGCACTTTGGGAGGCTGAGGCAGGAGGAGTGCTTGAGCCCAGGAGTTCAAGACCAGCCTGGGCCACATGGTGAGACTCTACAAAAAAATACAAAATAAAAAAAATAAAATAAAATAAAATAAATCATTGTGGTAGCATGTGCCTGTAGTCCCAGCTACTTGGGAGGCTGAGGTGGGAGAATCCCATGAACCCAGGAGGACCCTATTGCCTGGATTCCCCTTAACCATGTTTCCTAAGGTTAGCTAGTGGAAGTGACGACATAGAAATAGGAAGCAGTGCTGCTGCTCAGTGACATCCCGGTGGTTGGGGGGGGGTCTCCCAGGATCCAGGAAGAAGTTATGGGCTCTCTCCCAGCGATCCACAGCTTTCCCATCCTCTGGGGCCTTGCCCCAGTTTGCTGTTTTGAATGGAAGATGCTAATCTTTCTCTGGTCCCAGGTTAGGTCTAGTTCAATACCTTTTTTTTTTTTTTTTTTTTTTTTTTTTTTTTTTTTTTTTTTTTTTTTTTTTTTTTTTTTTTTTTTTTTTTTTTCTTTTTTTGAGATGGAGTCTCACTCTGTCACCCAGGCTGGAGTGCAGCGGCATGATCTCGGCTCACTGTAACCTCCGCCTCCCAGGTTCAAGCAACCCTCCTACCTCAGTCTTCTGAGTAGCAGGGACTACAGCACATGCCACCACGCCCAACTAATTTTTGTATCTTTAGTAGAGACAGGGTTTACCCATATTGGCCAGGCTGGTTTTGAACTCCTGACTTCATGATCCACCCGCCTTGGCCTCCCAAAGTGCTGGGATTATAGGCGTGAGCTACCACGCCCAGACAGGTCTAGTTCAATTCTAAGTCTGTGCCCAGCATAAGGGGAGGGGGGTGCAAGTATCGCCATGATAAAAGTCTCCCCACAGCTGCCCATGCTGGGCTGCAGGCAGGCGCAGCACCCCACGCACAACAAGCCTTGATGGTCTCTTGCCTGACAGCCTTATCTCCGAGGAATGCCGGGGAGTCAAGGCCAGCCGCGGAGAGCTTGACCAAAGGGCTTGAGCTCTCTGCCCCCAAGGCCAGCTGTGCTCTTTGATAACGAGCTTGGCGCTTATGATGTAGTTGGGAGAGGTCACGGTGACAGTGACAATGGGCTTTGTGCAGGACTTCACGGTTTGCCAGACTCAGTCATATCCATCAGCCTGTTTGATCCTCATAGTCAAAGGCTGATCTTGGGAATCTCATATCCTTCATTTTGCAGACAGAGAAATTGAGGCCAAGAAAAATTAAGTCCCCCTCACCCAAGGCTGTGCTGGTCCCACCTGAGTCATTACAAAAAGAAAAAGAGCTATTCAGATGTTGGATTGTACCCAGCAGAGATGGAAAATAATTCATTTCATGTAGAAAGAAACTGACTAAGCAGGAACTCCATTCCAGGCTCTGTGGCAGACACTAGAGGCACAGGAAGAGACCCGGCCCCTGCCCATGATCAACCTGAGGCTGGAGAAGGAGACACCAGCAATGAGTTCTGCAGGAGGCAGTCAAGATTCCAGCCGGAGGGGCCTGCTTCATCTTTTCTAGACTGCAAGTCTCCCGCAACTGACCACACACACTAGTTTTGGACTTGAACGGACACACACTTAAACAGTTGTGTGTCCTCAGGAAAGTTACTTAGCTTTTCTGAGCTTGGGCTTCCTCATATATAAAAATGAGAATAAAAAACTCCCATCACGGCTGGGCGCAGTGGCTCACGCCTGTCATCCCAGCACTTTGGGAGGCAGAGGTGGGTGGATCACCTGAGGTCAGGAGTTCAAGACCAGCCTGATCAACATGGAGAAACCCCGTCTCTATTAAAAACACAAAAAATTAGCCGGGTGTGGTGGCGCATGCCTATAATCCCAGCTACTGGGGAGGCTGAGGCAAGAGGATCACTTGAACTTGGGAGGTGGAGGTTGCAGTGAGCCGAGATTGTGCCATGGCACTCCAGCCTGGGCAACAAGAGCAAACTCTGCCTCAACCAAACCAAACCAAACCAAAGTAATACAAAACAAAAACTCCCATCACTGGGGCTCATGAAGGGGAGATCACACATGTAAAGTTCCTGGCGTGGTGCCTGGCATACAGCTGGCACTCAACAAATACTGGTATAAACTTAATGGACAGGATAGAATAAGTCCAGAGACACATACGTAAGGAATAGTGTAGGGAGTGCCAGCCTGGGTGAAATGAGCCAGCAGCTTAGAGGTCATTGGTTGTGACTCTGGATAACTGAAGCAACGCAAAATCTGCTGGGAGGAGGTGGACACCTCACTGATTAAAGGACAGCCTGTTAGGGAGGCCAAGGTGGGCAAATGACTTGAGGTTAGGAGTTCAAGACCACCCTGACCAACATGGTGAAAGCCCGTCTCTACTAAAAATACAAAAATTATCTGAGTGTGGTGGCAGGCACCTGTAATCCCAGCTACTTGGGAGGCTGAAGCAGGAGAATCACTTGAACCTGGGAAGCAGAGGTTGCAGTGAGCTGAGATCGCACCACTGCACTCCGGCCTGGGTGACAGAGCGAGACTCCGTCTCAAAACAAAACAACAAAAAAAGGAAACCTCTTTTGCGAACTTGCTGTGTGCCTCCCGTAGGGCTTCCAGGAGAAGGTGGCATTGGCTCTGGGCCTTGCAGGGAGAATGTCACACCCTCAAGGGTATGGGGAATGGGGGAAGGGATGCCATCATGACCTACCCAGGAAGGACTTGCTGAAGGATACCACCTAACCAGCACCCTAAGAGACATGGCATTTTTCTCAGTCTCTTCTTTGCCAAACTAGTGACCAAGCCTTAATGTCCTCTTTGGGTTTCTGGTCTTGGATAATCAATTCCACAGAACTCAGTGCAAATAAAGTAACTATCTTCAAACCTCTGTGCTTTTCTTTGGGTGACATTCTTTTAGAGAAACATTCACTTCGTCATTCAACAAACATTTAACCAAGTACCCACTATATGCCAAGCACTGTTCTGGGCACAGCTTCTGCTCTCCAGGAGCTCAGAGTCTATTAGGGGATAGAAATGAGCAGACAGTCGCCTCTTGGAGACATAGGGGCTGGATTTGAGGTCCATAACATGTGCAGTTTTGCGATAAAGGAGGGAGGCATCCACTCAGCAGGACGGGCACGTGTTAGAAGATAAAGTTTCACCAGAGGGGTAAGTGGGGTTTTGTGGGATGAGTAGGATTTCGACAGGTACCTTGGAGACTAAGAACATTCCAAGGAGAGGAATAGATGTGAAACATCCTGGGAAGCAGAACAAATGGCAAATAGTGTGTTGGGCCTGGAGGTGAAGCTGTGGGTGGAGATTCCCACTTTAGCCTGGCAGTGGTGGGCTTGGGACAAGGGCATGACATAGCAGATTTGTGTTCTAGGCTCATGCCTGTAATCCTAGCACTCTGGGAGGCCCAGTGGCAGTCACCTGTGATCCCAGCTACTTGGGAGGCTGAGGCAAGAGAATCTCTGGAACCCAGGAGGTGGAGGTTGCAGTGAGCCGAGATTGTGTCACTGCACTCCAGCCTGGGGGACAGGGCAAGACTCTGTCCCAAAAAAAAAAAAAAAAATTCCCTGCTAGGGACTTTTACTGTTTTCTGAGTACTTCACACCATCATGGAATGGCTTTGCGATTGGCATTCACTGCTTTTGCAATTCAAACAATTAAAAAAAACCCCATAAAAGTAAAATTAATCTATAGAGCTCCCTGACACATAGTAGGTGCTCGCTTAATATCCATTGCAGGCAGGGGGTCCCGCCATCTGCATCTCCCCCCTCACACTATGCCTGAGGGACGCTGCTGGAACGGATGTTAGAGGAGCCCAGAGCTGGCGGCCACATTTTCCCCGGGGGACTGCTCTAAGTCCAGAGTTCTGTTCAGCTGGCCAAAAGTTTTACTTGTGGGGAGATTAAGAAAAAATAAAATAAAAAATTTAAAGCGATCCAGCCCTTCCCGTCCACTGTGGGTGAATGGGGGAGGCTCCAGGCAGGCGTGTCTCGGCGCCTGCAGAATCACCGACCCACAAAACAAACAAATGGATTGTGGATCGGATTTTGGATCGAGGGGGCAGAAACTGACATTATGCATGCCTCCCCCAGCTCCCAGGCTGTCACTCGCCAGGCTCAGCTTCCCCCACTGGTGCCTTGGGAGACCCTCCCCCGCTGCACTCCATCCCAACTACCTCCTCCCTTTCCCACCTCCAACCCCCCTAAAAGACTTTTTGAAGTTGATCAATGAAACATGTTTTATTTAAGGGCCCTATTCCTGAGCGGGGACTCTGCGAGGCCTTCATTAGTTCCACATAATGAAAGAATGGGCCGATTCAAGGAGACTGGGGAGAGAAAAGAGGGAAAATTAGAGTTCAGTCTGCTTACTTAAAAAAAA